TCAGACAGACAGACAGACAGACAGACAGACAGACAGACAGACAGACAGATGAAAAGACAGACAGACAGACAGACAAAGAGAGAGAGAGAACAAAGGTAGTAAGGTAGGTCGGTATTTTATCCGGTGTCAAAATCCATGATCACACATCACAGACAGCAGCATAGATCTACAACAGTTTTTACAGGCACGCGAGACTTCCGTGAAATGAGCATAAATTATAAATGGCACGCATATTAATGACAAAAACAACAAAAACATTTAAATACCGTTTTGTTCTGTTGTGCCCAGTGTCTCCATGATAAAACAGTAGTACAGGATGCGATAAAGTGCCAGTCATTATAAATTATACACTGTATTTTTAGACTCTTTAACCATTTCAACCTTTGCTGCAAAGTCGAAGCCGGCTGTCCATCAGTGTATAGTATTAGTACGGCTCTTTTCGTCTATGCAGACGGTCAATTTAGCTTAAGATGGTCTCAAGGTTGTCTTCATGCAGCTTCTGTCATGGCTAACATCAGTGTATAAGGGTGAAAACATCCACACTGTACTAAAACTTGCTTCTTGTACCCCGAAAGCTCAAATTACGACCTGAAGCGGATGCGAGCACCGTAAAACATAAACGATAGAGATCTGTTTACAAAACCGAAAGTGAACGGTCGTAATAATGCTATTTAATGTTGGTAATCAACCCGTTAGACAGAAGAAGCAGCAGTTTTATAACCCTGACTGGTGCAATTTATAGAATTGTCAGTGTGACAGTTTGCGACGATTTTTTTTTTTTATTACATTTTTATTTCATTGTACTTTATCTCTAGAATCTAGATCAAATTAAATTAAATTAGATGTAATTCAATTTAATTTAATTTAGTTTAATGTAATTTAATTTTATTTTACTTTAATCTATTTTTAAATGTTTGTTTTGTTTGTGGCTACTACTACTAGATATCTACATATTTGTGAGACAGCGTGGTGGAATCAGGCTCTCGTCAAATTTTGAGCATGTAGAGTTATTGGTATCATCGTAAAGCTTGTTCATTTGTCTTTATTTGGATGGGGAAAATATCCATTTATCTTGAAAATAAGTCGAGATATTTGCGAAAGAAGAAGGAGGTGGGGGTCACCTGTTTTCAGATGTAAACTTACGGAGAAAATGGCGGCCAAAAAATAGTTACTTCCTTAGCTTAAGAGTTCGTGGTAACTGAACATTTACATTTTGTGTGCCTTTAATCAACGTTTTTAAGAAAAAAACCCACGCAGAAATTCATTCTTTAATGGGCATGAAATGTGTTCAGCCCAAAAACAAAAATTTTATAAAAATCCACAAACCTACGGAAAAATGCAAGTTTGTTCACTTTGATTATTTTGACGAGAGCCTGATTCCACCACGCTGCCTCACATATAGACTCGTGAAAAAACGGTAGGCTATCCGAGAAAACTGTTCTAGTAGTTTTTGCATGTTTTGTTTTTTCTTACTAGTAGTTTTACGGCACTTGAACACAGTTATGTCATAATTATTATCAGTACCGAAGATTAGAGGTGTTACAAGTAAGAGTAGGCTAGGCCTACCCAACGCAAACGGGAGGAGAGATCAGGACGTTAGATGTTTGGTAGGAAAAAAGGAGCGTAGTAGTAGTAGTAGTAGTAGTAGTAGTAGTAGTAGTAGTAGTAGTAGTAGTATAAATAGCAGTAGCAGTAGTTGTTGTTGTGGTTGTTGTCTCTGAGGCAGCTGTGGTGGATGTTGCTGTAGTCACCACCAGCTGTAGGTGTCAGTAATTTCAGTCGACGCGACGGCGGACATTTTCCAAATTCCCACCCACTCACAGTAACTTCACGCAAGTTGAAGACATTGCACTTTTTTCTATCTTAGAATTACAATGTTCTATCAGTCATTTTGGCCACTTTTGAGTTACTAAAAATCATGAGGTCAGAACAGAAAACAGTGTTCTAGATCTATCTGCTCTATCAAAATCGTAAGATTATTCGAAGTGGTTAGATCTATCAAGATATTCAAAGAATGGCATTCGAAAATGTCATGAAACCCAAAGGTTTTTACAGTCAAATTTCTCAAAACTTAGCACTGATCAGATAAACCCTCTCTGATAGAACTTTCGTAATTCTATTCTAGGGTAGAGCCACTCTAGCAATCGTGCATTCATTCCACGTTCACAACATTTTTCAGATCTAGATCTAGATCAAAATTCTAGAATCTAGATATATCTAGATCTAGAATTATTCTAAACTATTAACTCAAATAACATTATTTATCTTATTCCATTCCCATTTCACTTGCATGCCTGTGGAAATGATTACGGAAATTTCTAATCGTGTTAAAAACTTTGGAATAATATTTTACCTCACTCCCGAGTCGGAAAGAAAGGAGAGACAGGATGGGCTAGCCTAGCCTACCGTACGGCAAGCCGAATTTTTGCTGTTTTCAGAAGTTTTAAGACGATGGTGTTAGATACCCTTTATCAATTATCATTTTTCCACAAATAGGCTACAGATGATTCAAAATCGCGGCATTATAAAAAAAAATCAAGCAAACGAACAGATGATTTGATATGTAAATAACGATTCCTGATTACTTAACGAAACGTTGACGGTAAGGTCTGTTCTGATGATTAACTAACAGATCTACTTAAGTCGTGCGTGTGTGTTATGCAAGTTTCCATTTAAAACTTGAGAAGATTTAGGCCCGTTCGCCATAGTAAGAAGTAGACAGATGTAAATCTAGACATGTACACGGCCAAAATAAATCTTTTTCAGAAGGCAGTTTTAGTTTCGCGCATATTTAGGCAGGTTCACTGAGACAGACAGTAAGTCTAGATCTAAAAGTATGCTGAGGCGAACATAGATGTACTCGTGTGTGTGTGTGTGTGTGCGTGTGTGTGTGTGGAGCCAGTTTTGAACACATTAGGACCGGTTCTGTACTGTGTAAGAGGGGGGAGGTGAACATGTATGCATACACAGGGCGAACACACACACACACACACACACACACACACACACACACACACACACACATACACACACACACACACACAC